TTTTTTCCTAAAGGCTTTTGTTCCTGCAGAACGAGAGGTACTTTGACCTTGGCCGCTCGGCTGCCAGCTGCTTGTGGTTGCTCGGCAGCTAGAAGAAGTCGACTTCGAGCACAGGATCTTCAGCTGTCTCACTTTCCGAATCTTCTCGGTAAGAAGCAGGAGTTCGTGACCTGCTTCTTTTGGAAGCATTGGGCAGCAATGCCGGCGGTGCATGTGGCATTTGCCAAGGCTGTTGGCTGGAAGGCTGGGTTTCAGGGCCTGTTGCTATGAGGAGAGGGCTGCTTTGGTGTGCAGAGTTGGCCTCATCTTGCCTGGCTGGCCCTTCACCGTAGTGGAGCTGTCGTGGTGCCAGCGGTGACAGGTTGGCGTTGAAGCTAGCTGCAACCGGCATATCCCGGTGTGGCTGGGTATCATGGCCTGTCTGGTTCTCGGTTGCAGCGGAAGTTGATGTGCCTTGCTGTGAGGTGATGTTGGCCAGCTTGACTAGCCTTGGCTGTTTGCCGTTTGAAGAGCTCTGATATGGGTGGCGAGGCAGCAATGGGTGCCCCTTTGCAACTCTTCTGTAAGGTTGCCGTTAGGATGGGTCTGCCTTGGGCATCTGTGTGGGCTTGGGTGCCACAATGCTTGCAGTGGATTTTGTCTCCTCTTTGCCAAAGGAGATGATTGGAATGACCACTGTGGGTGTGTTCGTACAGCTGGTTGATACATGGGCTTTGTACATAGGCCTTGAAAGCAGCTTCATTGGTCCGCTTGTGAGTGCTCTGGCCACACGTGGTGCACCGCAAATACCCTTTTGTCTCTTCAAGGGTGTGGGCACTGGCCGGTTGTTGCTGGGCCTGCTGCTCGAGCAAGTTGGCAATAACTTGAGCTCTGGTGAGCTTGCGGGAGATGGGCTTGTGAGGGCTGCTCTGGTCAGGATACTCCTCTTCAAGCTGGATCTGGGGACAGGGTTGTTCTAGTCGTTCTTCGATGGTGGGTGCTGTGAGTGCCTGATGGACCCTGATGCCACAAGCACTACATTGGTACCCGCTGCGGTGTGGCTGCCAACGGTGATAGGGGGCCTGCCCCTTGTCTTGAAGCACTACTGCCAGTCTGGCTGCTGCATGTCTGTAGATGGTTTCATGGTCTTGGTCCAGCGTGGTTTGCCATTCAGTGGCCCGTTTGTTGTGGAGCTGGTTGGCACGCTCCCAGGCCGTCAAAGCTGCATCCCTTTGCCTCCTCCTGAGATGTGGCTCATTGCCTGGGGTGTCTGGTGTCCTTGTACTACGGCTGACATAGAGGACCGTAATCCGTTGGAAGTCAGCTTCAGTGAGACCTTGGTAGAGGTCAGGGTACTGGTCTCGGTGCCGAGGTTCGGTCCATGCTTCCCAGACTGCAGCTACTTGTACGATGACTTTGACTGCAATGCTGGTGTGCTTGGCCAGAGCTACCAAGCCAGCAATCAGGGCTCGGTTCTTGGTCTGAGGGCTGTCTGGCACGCCTGTGATGGCCCCTAGTCGCTGCAGTTGTCCTGTGCGCATGACATGGACACAAAGGCCAAACACCCATAGTTGGCTGCGGGTGTCATAGGTGGAGGGAGTGGCGTCTAGAGTGAACGCCCACCCTTGGTGCTGGTGTGCTTGAAGCATCTGCAGATCTTGCCAGACCCCATGTCCTTGATAAGGATGCTGAATGGTCAGGTGATCCTGAGGCTCCAAAGGAATCCAGCCAGCATTCCACAAAGGTTCTTCATCATGCTGAGTCAGCCGCTCTGCCCATTCAGGTGGCATGGGTTTGTGGCCTCGTCCTTTGTGCCACTTGCACATCCACACTATATGTTTGGGTGTTGCCGGGACTGCACAGACTGGGCTTGCCTTGCTCTCTGAAATGTATGGCTCCTTGGACCCAGGTCCGGAGGTAGGTTCTGTGTTCCTTGGGTAGCTTGTGAATGAGCTGTCGGAACACATGCCAGTCCAATCCTGCCACCAAGTGCTGATGGTATTGCCTCTGGGCCAGTCTGGAAGTTCGTTGGCTGTTGGCCTCTTTCAGGAGCGCCCTCTCAATTTGCCACCAGGGTTGCCTGAGACTGAGGTCATTGGCCGTCAGGTAGTTGGTCTCAGGTCTGGTCCAGTGATGCAACGTGGGTGCCTGCTATTGCCACTCATGGAGGTAGGCTATGGTGGCTGCCATAGGGCCCTTGACAGTGTACCAAGGATGGGACTTGGTGTTCAGCTGTTGGTAGATGCTGGTCCATGCCTGTTCTAAATGCTCAATTTGGTCTGTGGGCCAAGCATGGTAGAGCGTATGGAGGGCTTTGACGTGGTGGATGATGACCTGGTCTGCCGGGTCAATGTACTTGTTGCTGTGAAGATCAAACGTGGCATCCAGTGAACCTCCATGATGATGCCCTAGTTGGTTCGCCAAGGCAGCTCTGAGTGCGAGTCGATATCTCGGAGCCAGACCCTGAGCTTCAATGCCCCATAAAGCAACTGGCTGGATGCCTCCCTTGTGCAGCCTGAGTCTGACTTTCAAGGAGGGGATTTTGAGGCTGCGGAGCTTGAGCTTTCGTTGATGGGCTTTTGCAAACCTTTGCTTCATCACAGGGATTCGTCTTCGTCGGGCTGCTTGATGATCTATCCCGAGGTCCCTCATCACTGTGGCTACTTGTGGTTCGTGTGGCTGCAACAGAGCTTTGAGCTCTCGATCCGTGGCCTTGTCAGTGGCCAGAAAGGCAATCTTTTTTGCATTGACCCTTAGCCCAAGTTGCTGGAGCCTGGTGTGTAAGTCCCGGTAGGCTGCGACCGCATGTTGGAGGCCGTGCCAGTGCTTCTGGACATCATGTACCACCTTCATGAATCCACGTACTGGGCCATGCTGGACTTCAGCTGGTTGTTTGAGCGCCAGCTGGAATCTGGCACCGAGTTGCTCCCAAAAGGCTGGACGGCCTTTGCGCCAGGTTCTGGTGGAGCCCATGGGGAGCAAGGGTTTGGTGACTGCCCTGAGGTTTGCTCCCCTTCCTTGCGCAGCCCAGGGGTGCTCTTGCAAAATGTACTGCTCGGTTTTGGATAGCCAGTCTGCCCACAGTTGTGCTGCCGCATTTGTGGGATTGTCGTATAGACAGAGTTCATGTGCCTGGCTCTGGTACGTAGTCCATGGTCGGAAGTCAATGTCCGGGACTTTGGGCAGGGGAGGAAACTGCTGGATCTGTCTGTACTCACGTGTGGCTGCTTCGATGTCAAAGTTCAAAGTCAGCAATGCATGCGGCCGCCAAGGTACAGCCCAGTCTGTCGTTAGTGCAGTGGTGCTGGCAAGTTGTTCGTGTAGCAAGCCATAGTCCAGGACATTTCCTGACAAGACACCGTGGTCTGGAGCTAGTATGCCGAAGTGGAACTTGGCCGGCAGGACCGTGCCTGCAATGGTATCCGGTGGGTTCTGCCAGTCACCTATGATTACATAGGGATGCTTGGTGGCTTCAAGTAGAGCCAAAAGGCGGCTGAGCATTGGCATTGGTGGTGCTCTGTAGTGTTTCACTGTTGTGGAGATAGATGCCCACGACCAAAATAGTGGCCTCAGTTGCCTCCCACAAGAAGGCATGGTAGCCGCAGCCCTGATGATCATAGTGCTCGAGATCCATTAGGCAGCAACTGGGATCAGCCAATATGAGAATGCCACCAGATGTACCAGTGGCTTGTGAGTTCATGGTTGCAGCAGTGCCAAAAGCGGTTCTGCCTCGGATGGTGAAGTATTGACAGACTTTTTGATGCCTTTGTTGGTCCAGGTGCCCTCACGTGTCCAGTACCAGTCCAGGACCTGCCGGCCAAAGTTGGTGACATTGGCGTAGTGCAGCTTGTTGTGTCCTTGGGCCTTGCGGGCCTTTTTGTTTGGACTTGGATGGAGCGGTGGATCATAGTCTGGCTGTTCCAAAGGTGGCAAACTGCGTCTTATTTGTTGCGGTGTTTTGAACACATCAAGACTGACAGCCCAGATTTGTGTTATCTGACTGGCCAGCTTGGGCGTGAGAAAGGGCAAGTAGGTGGGAACTTTGCCATCATCTGCCAACCACATCAAGTCACGATAGATGAGTATGGCGAAATAGTGTCCCGTGTCATGGGTTTTGCCCCTGTGGCAGATGAGGACTGCCGGGACGAACTCTGTGGATGTCCTGGCAAAACCATCCAGGGAGCGAGGGACTGTGAAGGTGCCATAGGGATTCAGCGTCTTGTTGTGCTTTGTTGCAATGCCATCCACCACTGTGTTCCTGGTGACATGACAGATGAGAACTTTCTTGTCATCCATGAGGTACTGTCCCAAACCCTGGTTGGCCCAGTTGTTGAAGAGGTCCTGAAACCGAATGTCCTCAGGCCAGTCATCAGGGAACGGGATCAAAATCGGCATTTGGACATGATCCACGAGGTAGCCATTTTCTTTAATCTCAGCGTACCTGTAGTGGAATGCTCGTGTTTGAGATTGGAGCCAAAGGGAGTTCACAAAGTGTTTGGCATCTCCTTGCAAGTTGAGGTCATGTTGAGTCCATAGCTCTTGCATGCCCGGCAGCTGGTGTAGATCAACTTGTTCAGCTGTGTCCAAAGATTCTTGCACCGCATCTTGCAAGGCTCCCCAGGGTTGTGTGCTCGTCTCTTGCAGTAAGGCACAGGTCCAGGTGAAAGCTCGCCAAGGTGCATTGGCATAACAGTGGGCGCTTGGATTGCCCACCGTCATACTGAGGTTCTGCAAAATGCAGTCTGTTGCGGAGGCATACTCATGCTCCATGTGGTGCGGTCCTGACTGTGGCAACTCCGTAGATCCACTGGAGGCTGCTCCACCTTTGATGGAGAGGTAGTCAGGAGGCTTCAGATCTTCATGGCCTGAAGGTTGGCTGAACCTGAAATGAGTCAAAACTGGGACTATGGTGTCCTTGGCTGCTGTGCCATGTAGATTGCTGCATGAAATATCCCCTTCATGCAATCTGGAAATTGGTGCCCCAAAAGGTTTGTCTGGCCATGGTTGGAGGTGTGAGTGTTCCCCGTCACACCGCGCATGGTCTGTTGTGTTAAGCACCTCGGAGCCTGATGCAGCGCGGCAAACCCTTTGGCGCTGGTTCACATGGTCCCCAATGGAACGTGCCTCATCAAAATCGTCAAAGGGAATAGGCACAAATTCCCCTTGAAGCTGCCCCTTGTTCTCCCACTGCATGTTACCCACTCAACGGTGAGTGAAGTGGAGTTGCAGTCGCTTCAGTTTTCCGGCGCTTGGTTGGGTCTTCTTCGTCCATGTTTGGACGCTTCAAGAGACCATGGAGTTGGCTTCTCTGATCATCTGTCAAAGAAATGCCGAGACTCGTGACAAAGGATTCAACCGCCATGGGAATGGGTTCTGAAGCCGCGGGTTCCTGAGTGAGGTCTGCAGGCTTGGGTGCTTGATTGACGGCAGCCATGTATTGGTCTGAGAGCTGCTTGAGCTTCTGTTGTCCTTCGTTGAGCCGGGTTTGGATATCCTGCATATCCTGTAGCATAGCTGCATAGTGGCTCTTCGCCTGGTCTAGCTTCACTTGGAGTTGGGTCTTCTTGATGGATTGGTTTTTCAAATCCGTGACCTGATTCTTCAACTGCTGTGCAATTTCCTTCTCGGTTTGTGGGAGTGGGGTCGTCAGTTTGGTGACAACAGCCTGGACTTCTGGTGGCAAGGAGGTCATGTGTGTCTTCAGGATATCTGTCAATCCTGGCTCCTCCTGTGGTTGAGGCCCTAGGCCAAGTGCCTGCAGCTTGCTTTGGATGGTATCTGGGATGGCTTCCCAGTTGGCCGTGAGGAGTTCGGCTGCCTGCTGCTGGTCCTTTGGCCGACGTAATGGCCTAGGCCTGGTCAGTCCGGGAGGTGTGTCCATGAGTGCTTCTTGATGGAATTTTCTTGGCCATACCTTGGTGGTGGGGTTCTGCTTGTTAGAGTGTCCTTTTCCTTTGCCATTGGCATTGTTGATGACCCACCATGTGCCGCAATTTCAGGCATCTGTTTCCACTTTGAATTTTGTCTGTCCAAATCCATATGTATGTATGTATGTATGTATGCATGTATGTATTTAAGTATGTATGTATGATATGTATATTATGTATGTTATGTATGCAATGTATGTAATGTATGGCATGTATTGTATGTATGGTATGTTTGTTATGTATGTTATGTTATGTATGTATGGTAATGTAATGTAATGTAATGTTATGTTATGTTGAGTTATGTTATGTTATGTTAGTATGTATGTATGTATGTATGTATGTATGTATCTATGTATGTAGTGTATGTAATGTATGTAGTGTATGTAATGTATGTAATGATGTAATGTATGTAATGTATGGCATGTATGGCTGTATGGTATGTATGGTATGTTGGTATGTATGTATTAATGTAATGTAATGTAATGAACTGTAATGTAATGTAATGTATGTAATGTATGTAATGTAATGTAATGGTATGTATGTATGTATGTAATGTAATGTTTGTAATGTATTAATGTATGTATGCTTGTATGCATGTATGTATGTGAGTAATGTATGTAATGTAATTAATGGTATGGTATGGTATGGTATGGTTTGTATGTATGTGTGTATGTAATGTATGTAATGTAATGTGGTGTATTGTAATGTATTTATGTATGTATGTTATGTATGTAATGTATGTAATGTAATGTAATGTAATGTATGTATGTATGTATGTAACGTATGTAATGTATGTGATGTATGTATTGTATATAATGTATGTAATGTATGTAATGTATGGTATGGTATGGTATGGTATGGTTGCATGTATGTATGTCATTATGTATGTATGTATGTATGTCTGTGTTTTGTATGTATGTATGTATGTATGTATTAATGTAATGTAACGTAATGTAATGTAGTGTAACGTAACGTAATGTAATGTAATGTGATGTATGTATATATGTAGCTGATATGTAAGTATGTTTTGCTATTTACACCGTGCGTATGGCAGGCAAATGTTAACAGTTCACCTATCACCTTCTATCAGCGACGTGTCCTAAGCACGACTATAGCACGACTAAGCACGACTATAGCGACGTGTCGTAAAGCGCAATCTTCCTTTACCAATGCCACCGGAGCGTTCTTCCTCCTCATGGGTAGACCGCTCTGAGGGACCGTGTGGTGGAATGAAGGACCCGCCAATGTCCAATGTGGTGGAATGGAAGGTAGAGAAGGCAAGACTGAAAGTGGATGGCCAACTAGCACTCGTTCAACCCAACATTGCAGGGTTCTCGGGTTCTCTCTTGAGAATCCCATTAGAAAGTGTAGCAGGGAGCTGAGGGCATCAGAAGGCTTGGTTTGCTTCACCATCCGAACCTGTGCAACCCATTACTGTAAGCATTTGGGGTGGATGTGGTGATCTCATTGTTTTGAACTCCCGCAGCGTTAGGCCAACGAGCAAATGGACAAGCGCATGGGCTTAGCGCAAGAGACCTTCAGCCATGGAGCTCAGCTGAAACGGAGCCCAGAAACGCCTCGGGCTGGAGACGGGTTGCCGGACTGAAGGAAGCCTTCGCAAAATGCCTGCCATGGGTTGCACAATGCTGCACATCTACGAAGATTTGTCTGGAATATTGGGATCAGTTGCAGGGCCGACAGGTCTTTGTGCACTCCGACTGGATGAAGATGCGCCTGTTGCCGAACCGTTGAGTCACAGTTGGTACCAAACTTTGCCCCCGAGTGTTAGTCGCATGGCAAGGCACTTCGAAACCCAAATCCACAAATGTCCACTTCCAGTGGTCCAATACAATGAGTAGAACTGTAGAACTGTTTAGGGTGTTTTGGTTTTTTTCCCCTCATCATGTCGATTATGTGATCATCGGTTCTTCTAATTATGATTCTATAGGCTTCAGGCATGAGAATCTCAAGCGGGCTTCTCTGATGAGAAAAGGAGTCCTCCCTGTTTGTGTTCCTCATTGCCCCGTCACCGCGGTGAGTCACCATTATGTGTGAGCTTGGTATGTTGCTGGCGATGTGTCCAAAGCATCCAGGAACGGAACTGCAAGACCCCCCTACCAGCCATTTGTCCCACCCAGTAACCACTTTTCTTGTGACGAATTCAGCATGTCACGAAAGCTAGCCTTAGCTAGCTGGAGTTGCTCTTGCTTTAGCAAGTTAAGTGACGGGGTGGACGCACCTCAGAAACCTCAAATAATTGATTAAATCAATCTTATGGACCCCCCCCCCCCCCCCACGGTTCGCCCCCCCCTGCGCGCGGTGAGCGGGACCACCAAGCAGCTGCAGCACACCAAGCATCTGCGCCCAGCGCAGCAGCGGCAGCAGCAGCAGCAGCACCAGCCGCAGCAGCAGACCACCCAGCGGCGGCAGCAGCAGCAGCAGCATACCCATACCCAACGCCGCGGCAGCAGCAGCCGCAGCAGACCACCCAGCGCCAGCAGCAGCAGCAGCAGCAGACGACCCGGCGCCTGCAGAGCACCCAGCGCAGCAGCGCCCAGCGCAGCAGCGGCAGCAGCAGCACCAGCAGCAGCAGCACCAGCAGCAGACCACCGGAAGCCCGGCTAGCTTTCGTTCACCCCCTCTGGCCTCAAGTTGAGATATATGTTGAGACCTTCTTGTGGGGAAGCTGGTGGTGTCTACTCCGCCTTCGGCATCCTTTGACTTTTGACCTCCTCGAACTATGTGGTGTTCATGTGTTGGACAGTGGCACCCCCCAGTGAGAAAGAGAGAGGCACTTCACACATCAACCAACCTCGCTTGGTCAACCAAGCGGATCCAAGTGGCTTTGGTCCTTTGATAACACCGGTGGCGGTTGAAACCGGTCGCGTGTCAGGTCAAGCCGTGCAGAACGTCGTGAGCGGCAAGATCTTTGACGAGTCGTAGCCTCCCAATAGGATGGAAGTAGGGCCTGAGTAGGGCAATAGGTTATTCAATCCGCAGGTGTGGTTGATGGAGGACATGTCAAAGGGTGAGATGACGAGGATCAGCCTACTGGCATGAAGTGCAAGAATAATCAAAAATTGTTGAATGAAGTTTGCAAAAATCATAGGAACCCCGGATATGTATTGCGTTTGCCATCGGTGTTGTTCCGTCCAAGCACGCCTGTATGGAGCTGACTGGCATTGGTTTCAAAAAGGACTCGACCTCTTAGCGCACTAGCTGGCTGCAGCGGATGGAAGTGATTCTGATTCTCCACACGTGTCCGCCATGAACATGGAAGCTGGTATTGAAGAGATGCTTTGTCGTGCAGAGTTATCTAAAACCTTCCTGCTATCAAGCGAAAGTCAAAATAGTATATATATAGGTATACCGCACACTCTGACATTGGTTTGCTGTTAACTCAGTTCCCAGGTCAAAAGGAATGAGGGAAACGCAAGGTGAAGCAGTCGGCATCCTTCAAAGTTTAAACAATTGTTGTACTCAGCGGTCAAACTCTCACGCGGCCGGCTGCGGTAGGTTGCAACTCACGCGAAAGCTGCGGTGGGAAACCTGTTTCGGGGGAGGGACCACATGAAAAACCATGAATCAAACCAAAGGAGTGGACAGCGTGGTCAACAGTTTCATTGCAGGTACAAGAGCCGGCGTCCCAGCTCTCTTCCAACTGATTTCCGTAGCTTCGTTGGCACGGATGGGAAATCAGTCTCCGTGCCCCCTGCTTGCATGACAAACGGAAAAGGAAAGGATTTCTTAGTTACAGAGGTTGACACACACAGACACACACACCACACTGACTGCCGTGCAGGTGTTCATCCCCTTTGTTTTGTGGTTTCTATTATTTGTTGCCTTCTTGGGACCTGCGATTGGACTGCCACTAGCCGCTGCCGCCGCCCCCGCTAGCCAGTCTTGGCTGCAGGACATGTTGACCGCTTGGCGTGGATTAGATTCGATGCAATTTCAAGGTGGAAGAGGACACCATCCTATGGCCCTGGATTTCAACTGCAGAGTCCCACTAGCACTTCTGCTCGGAGATGCTCGGGGAACGTTCTGGTTCAGCCGAGTCTCAAACTTTAAGCCTTGAGATTGAGCAGGTTTTGCATGCTGGAATAGCCATAGCCAATGAACAAATGGTCACCTGGAGAAACAGCACTGGGTCAGTCGACCCTCTTGCGTGCAACTCAGCTGGCGCCTACCACGCCATGACGCCAGCGACCCCGGCCAACGCGCGTGCTTTGGCGCAAGCCGCAGTTGCCAACATCCGGGCCGGAAAGCCAAGTTGCCGGGGGAATGTTGAGGGACTGGGGCCAACTCTAGGCCTCTAGGCGATGCCATGTGGTGTTGTTCGGACTGAGGGACCCCATAGCACCAAAAATCGGTCTCACCCCTCCTCCAAGATTCTCTTCTTCGATCTTCTTGTGAGCACTTGAGATGCTCCCAGAACCCTCCGCCGCAGAGCTACCTGGAGCGGAGCCCAGCCGGAACCAGCTGTCCGGCTGAGGCCACCACGGCACAAGCATTGGCCCAGGAGAAGCAAAGCCAGGCTGGGCCGAGGCTCCAAAAAGCATAGGAAAGGCTCCAGACACCTGCCATTTGGAGAGATCATTTTTCCGCCACCACCGGCTGCAAAATGTGGGCGTTCGGGAGTTGCTTACTTGACAGATTTGGAAGTGGGTGATTTGATCCTGGTTCTTGACCGTGCTACAAGTAGTTTGCATGGGTTTGTTTTGGGCAAGTCTGCGATGATGGCCTTCAAAGCAAGCAGCACGGGAGGAAAAATCCTGGGAAATTAGCAATCATTTGCTGTTGCATGTTTGCGCCAGGCTCCGGCAGCTGCTTTGTTGGAGCCAGCCACGAAGAAGGAGGCGAAGACTAGTGGCTATGAGAGGCCGCAGCACGTGCGGACGGGGTTTCGGGTGTTTTGTTTCCCGCAACTCTAAGGAGCCACCATCCTTTGTTGACTCAGAAAGAGGCCCCATATGCATCAGATGGTAGCACAAGATATCAATGATATCACAAGTTCATAACTTAACCGGTTGTTGCGCGTGTTTGTTTCACCAAACTAGGTCCTACAGATCAGAGCAGAAACTCACCTTATGATGTAGAGGCATGCCGCCTTACTTGCGGCTTTGGAGTAGGATGATTGGAGCCTAGCTTTGGATCTGCTGGTAGAGGTTTTGATATCCAGAGAGGTCTTGAGAAACACAGAGATCTAGAGATCTGGCCTTGAGATCCAAAAAGATCAAGTGATTTGGAGATCTAGGGCCTAGAGCTCTTGAGATCCACAGAGGCCAAGACTCTTGAGGCCCACATCTTGGTCTTTGAGATCCGGAGACATAAGCTCCAGAGGCCTAGAAACCTAAGAGCAAAAAGGCTGGAGATCTAGAGGCCTTGCGATCCAGTGAAGTTCTAGAAAGGTCTTTTGCGGCCTAGAAACCCAAAGAGGTCTAGAGATCTAGAGTTCTAGAGATGAGGTCTTCAGGTCCAGTGCGGGGCCCCTAGAAGTCTAGAGTGCTAGAGGTCGAGTGGGTCTAGAAGGATCTAATTGGCCGAGACATCCACAAAAATATGATCAAGAGATTTGGAGGTCTAGAGGCCTAGAGCTCTTGAGGACACATGTAAGAGATTGTAAGAGCACCTGATCTGAGGGCACCTCAATAGAAGCACGCGTGTGAGAGCACACATATGAGCACGCATCTGAGAGCACATGTATGAGAGAGCAGGCATACGAGAGCACATGAGAGCACAAACAGAGATCGAGAGGTCTAGTTCTAGACGTCTAGAAAGATCCAAAGGCTGAGATCATCTGAGATCCAAAGATAGGTCTACAGGTCTGGAAGTGGATGTCTTAGATCCAGAGAGGAGAGATCAAGAGATCTGGATCCTAGAACTCCTCAGGCTCAGAGAGATCTCGAGATTGAGAAATCTAGAGTTCTAGAGTTCATGAAAGCTTTCAAAGCCGAGAGATTCAGAGAGATCTAGAGGCCGAGAGGTCTAGAGATCTAGAGAGCGCATGTGAGATGTGAGAGCGCATATATGAGACTCATCTGGGGGCACACGCATGCGAGCACATTTAAAGAGCACGTGCATGAGAGCACACATATCAGAGCACATTCGCAGCATATGCCACGCCATTTGCACTTCAAGCAGCACAAAATGCTGCGCCTGCCACACAACTTGCACTTCGGGGCTCACAAAATGCCGTGTTTGCCACGAAATGTGCACTTCGATGCTCACAAAATGCGTCAAATTCACTTTGCGTAGCCCTGCGAAGGAGTTTCGCAGCAAGAGCGAAGCGCGGCTTTCGCTCGAGACTTCCCTCGATTTCTGAACACAAACCACATGCCCAAAGGTCACCATTCACACTTCGAAGATCTCGAGGTGAATGAATGACCATAACTGGCAGCAAATCAGCGCGGATGCAAGCACCTCGATCAACACCCAGCCGTAACCATCACTGTAACAACCCTAGTGTGACCACACTGCTTGGCGAAAGAGTAAACCAATAGACCTAGAAGGGCTTGGAAAAGACCATGTTCCATAGCTTGACCCATGGATGACCATGTTCCATAGCTTGAAGTATAAGACCAGGCCTCATTGCGACCATAGCTTCCCGCTCCATTCGCAGCTGCAGTCGCCTCAGGCCGACCACGCTCACAGAGGCGGAGCGCGCAGTGTTGGGACCTGAGAACGTGGGTGCCGCGAAGGACGCGGCGCGAAGGACGCGGCGCGAAGGACGCGGCGGAGGACGTGGACGGCCGGCTGTACGACAGCTTTGGAGCTCAAGCGGCTGGTTGAACGCTAGGGCTGGTGGCCTGAGCTTGCTCAACTTGTTTCAGCAGTGATGTGCAAGCAAGCGCAAGCAAGAGAATGTGTGAGACAGAGGTAATTACACCAAGTGGCTTGACACACATGAGCCAAGATAAACCGCAACACGCTGTAAGTATTTGTAAGTTGGATTTGCTGTGACTGCGGTGTTTAGGCGAAAGTCAGCCACAAATAGTGGATCAGATCAATTTAATTTGCTTTGGTTTCAATAGGAATCATTTAGTCAATTGAGCCGCCTAGCCTGCACCTTTGACCTTAGAAGGAGGAATCCACTGGGAATTGCCTTTTTGCATGGCCTTCATGAGAGCCATTCCTTTTGGTGCACTACCGGCTACAATAGACCTTTCTCCTTCAATGCTCCCCAGAAAGGCTTGGACGTAGACATGCCTGAAAACGCTGTTCCCTCACCTCATCACATCGTCCATTCCGTGGCGAACCCTGCCGCCAATGTCTGATGACATTCCGTCCCTGGCGGAGTTGCTGGGACAGCTGGACGAGGAGGATGAGGAAGATCAACATGAGGAAAAACATGAGGTCTTTCTGGCAGACCCGAGGCCGCCATGACAGCTACGCTAGGTGATGGCAGGTGTGAAACCAAGGGGAGCCTTCAAGCAACCTCAACCTAGTAGGAAAAGTCAATCAAATAACTTTTTTTAAAAAGATATGTTTATATACATAACCCATCACAACCCTAGGTTCCACATGCATCCTTTGTTAGAAGGTACCTCAACACCCCTGGTACACAAAAGACCCACATGTAATCACATGTGTATATATATATATATGTATATACTAGCCTAATCAGGCCAAACAGGGTCTTCATGTTCAACTCCAAGTTGAACCCACCCTGTCAACAGGCCTGAAGAGGCCGGACGCCACCTGCTCGATCCCCTGCTGCTGGCGCTGCTGAGGGCTCCCCAAGTGCACGCGCAGCCGGCGCTGGCGGCGGCCTTGGGGTTCTTCGGGATGGAGCTGGTGGTGGAGCTGGTGGAAGAGAGCCTAGGAGATCGGTCTTGCAGAGCGGATGGGTTCATCTCATCAATTTGGGGGAGAGTTGCGTAGACGTTGTGTTTAGGGGAGCCTCGAGATACATAGTTGTTAAGTACAGAGTGCACGTTTGC